AAAAAAGAAAAAAACAGGAAACAACAGGACTTTGAATAGCAGTTTGCGCTTATTCGAGACGGACTTAATACACTCATTTCACCACTATATATAGGAGTAAAGAACGGGATTTGTGAATGGAAAAGGCCACAAAACAGGTGGAAACTTACTGTACTACGTAAACGGCTGCGTACACGCTTGATGCTACGCGCTTAAAGTACTAAGCAACACGTAAGGATAAGGAGAAGACATCACAAAATAAAAAGGAAACAACAATTCAAAGACTTGACCAGGTTTCCGCAAACGGAATATTCTTTGTAGTTTTCAGCCAAAAAGAAAAAGCCAATACCACCACGTAGTTCTTCTTTTTTTTTTTTTTCCTTCTACCACACCATACTTTTTATGGAAAAGTCGGGTTTCAAACAAACAAACAAAACAAATCGAACGAACAAACAAACAAACGAACAAACAAACAAACAAACAAACGAATAAAAACACTCCTGAATCACAAACTCATGCATTATACTTTGAAGATGGTCATCATCATTCATCCCTAACACTATGTTCTTATCTTTACTTCCTTTTTCTCCTATTCTTTTTTTTTTTCCAACTAGACATTTGTTTTGCAACTCTCCAATCAAACCGATACGAAATTTATTGCAAGAGTTGAAGTACAAGCCGTAAAACAGAATACCCGCCAATAACGCAGACGACTGAGTGTAAAAAAAGAATTCTCAAGCAAGAAATAAAGCATCCTGAAATGCTAGAAAAAAGTGGCACAGTTAAAAAAAAAAAAAGAAAACAAATGAACAGCTGTTGCTGTGAAAAAACTGTGGTTTTCCAAATAAGGTTTCAAAAAGCAAATGTGCAATGAAGAAAATGAGTAACGAAAGCTGCTGAGATAAAAGAAAAATCTAAACAAGAAAAAAAACTAAAATAAAACAAGTAAAACCAAAATAATAGAATGCTTTGAAAACAAAAAAATAACCTAAATCCTCGAACAAAATAAATCAGACACAGAACTGAACCGTCAACACCTTTTACAATCCAAAGAAATGAGACATTAGACGAACGAAGGTAATCTGTAAATATTGAATAAGAAGAACCTTCAGTGTCAGTAAATAAAGTTTAAAAACCAGACCAATTTCTAAAAAAATGGAAAATTTAACAGTGACTTATTCTAAACAGATACTAAAAATGTGGAAATGATTACACAGCAAAGATAAAGAACGCAGTTTTAGAAACTTCTTAAAATTAAAAAAAAAGGTTCAATTGAAGAAAACAAACCCAAAAAAAAAAAAAAAAAAAAAAAAAAAAA